TGCCGCCGGCCCCGCACAGCCTTCACCAGCCAGCAGCTCCTGGAGCTGGAGAACCAGTTCAAGCTCAACAAGTACCTGTCCAGACCCAAGCGCTTTGAGGTGGCCACATCACTGATGCTCACCGAGACGCAGGTACCTTGGTCCAGGGGGGTGGAATGTAGGACCAGCTGGCTGCCAGGGAGGGAAATGTCAAGGTCACGGACAATACTGATCCCCCTCCTTTGGCTGCCGCCAGCCTCACATCCTATTGCTCCCATCAGCACCCCTTCCAGTGTGCTCCACAGATACCTGTCTGGTGGGGTCTGGAAAAGAGCCTGGAGTTCTTTTCTTGTGAAGGGCACCCCCGAAATACTGCTCTTCTTTTTACCAGCACATCCAACTTGCGTTTCAGAGCCTTCCTATCCTTCACCGCACTGTGAGAGGGGGCTTTTTGTGGCGCTAAAATTAACATGTCCTGCTGCATGTCCTTGGCATCCTGCAGAAGTTAGGCAGGGGGAAGGGAGCAGCGCCCACGGGGACTCCTCTCCCTATGACAACCTCAGCCTCCTTGCACAGACCTGCAGCACCTCGGGATGCCCCACAACAAAGGGGATTTGGGGGGGCCTCCATGCAGGGAAGGTGAGGTGAGGGGGTGAGTGGGAGCAGGATGGAGCAAGAGAACACACTCTCCCTTTGGGGATTTCCCTCTCCAGGTGAAGATCTGGTTCCAGAACCGCCGCATGAAGTGGAAGCGGAGCCGCAAAGCCAAGGAGCAGGGGGCTCAGGTGGAAGTTGAGAAGCAACGAGGGCTCAGCAAAGCCTGCGCGAAGCTGCTGCCCGGCGAGCCCCAGGGACAAGCTACCGAAAGCCCCGAATTCATGGGGTGCAGCCCCGGTTCGGGCTTCCTGCACCGCAGCGCCACCCAGCTGAGGTACGGCCCGGACTCCTCCTGCTCGGGGGATGAGGAAGACGAGGAAGAGGATGAGGACGAAATGAGTACCACGGAGGGGAAGATCGGATCTGTATTGTGAAAGGCAGATTAAGCCAGCTGGAGAGAGGGGCTGGGCTGCAGTGTCTGGGGTGTCTTTGCTGGCAGACACAGACTGTGCCCCGGTGGGCTCCTGCCACCCTTTAACTTATGTGTGTTTGGATCCTATTTAACTCGTAATTATTTCTCTGTGTGTATCTGGGGGAGTCCCCACACCCCTCCACTATAAAGCTGTTATCCGGATGCCTGTGCTTTTCCTTAGGGGACAGGAGGCTCTACCCCACTCCTGCGCTGTGGTGCCCTGCCAGGGTCGCTGGGGAAATGGGTGGGGACAGCAGACTTGCACAGCTGGCAGCCCACAGCAGAGCTGGAGGGTCCTACATCGACCCTGGACCCTCCTTCAACTTTGCGCCTTCCCTGCAAATATGACAGTGCCGGGAGCAACACATCCCTGCATGGTGCCAGCTGCCCTTCCCCTTGTGGGCATGAAGGGCTGGGAAGAAGGATGCCCAGGATGCCAGGCAGCCTGCCCTGCCTCCTCCTGCACCTGCAGCATCCCTGGTAGGATCTGTACTTGCAGGACAAACCTAAACTGTCCTGTAAAACAGAGCTGATTATTAATTGGCTAAGGCAGTGGTGCTGTTTTCCATGCTGCAATTAGTCTGGCTGCATCTGCATGGCACTGCCCAAAATAAGTTGAGGGTGGAGCCCTCCTGGGTTTAGGGAGGTGCTCAGGCTCTTTGTGAGTACTCAGTGCTCTGTGATAAGCCCTATTTTTCCCATGATGATGTCTGAATCTCTCTGAGTCTGGTTTTGGGCTGATCATGATCATCTTGGGACCCTGCTGTCTCTCTGGGCACAAATCAACCGCTGGTAGCAGGATGACAATGGACACCCTCTGCCACCTCCCTAGAAGCACCAGGGTTAAGCCCTGACTGCCTTCAAGTGAGCAGGCTGTCCTTGTCTTCAGGATGCTGGAGGCTTCTGGCAGACGTCCCATGTTACCTGCATGAGGAGGAAAGCAAGCATCTTTTCCATCACCTCCTGCCCCAATAATGGCTTTATTGCCTGGCCGGTAGGAAGCAGCGAGACACGTCGTCTTCTCCCTGTCCTTGCCTGAGGGTGGCAGGGATGCTGCCTGCCCACGGGGCCTGCAGAGGGGTGGACCTGCAGCAGCCCCCAGGGAGTCCCTGGTCACCTCTGGCAGCCCGTCAGCAATGGATGCGGCAGGTGAGGGTTCGTGTGGGGCTGGGGCCGGGACTGCTGTGGAGCAGCACCCTGTGCAGAGGGACAGATGTGATGTTTTGGGACAGAGGGATGGACAGGGAAAGTAGATAATGGGAGAGGAGAGCATGGGAATGGGTGGATGGGTAGATGGATGAATGGATAGGAAAACACAGGACGTGTGGGGTGACAGTGACCCGCAGTGGCTGCTGGCAGCTCAGCAGCTTCCCCCTAGGTGCATGGCATCCTCGGTGCCCGAGTCCCCTGTTCCCAGACAACCCATCCCAGGGCACGGCAGGGCCCCACTGCCCACACAGGAGGTGTTTGGACCCTGGCATTGCCCAGCGGGGGAGCTCTGGTACTGGGGAGAGTGCAGCCCTTGCTCCAAAGGGGTAGATGTGAGCCAGGGTAGGGGCCAATGCGAGGAGCCTGTGATGGCTGGTGTAACATAGGACAGGAGAGGAAAAATGTAGAGAAGGGGAGGGGAAAGTCAGGGAAGAGAAGGAAAGGAGAAGGGAAGGGAGAAGTAGGAAAGGATGGTACCCAGTTCCCATTGGTAATTGCCCATGGCGGCGATAGCAGGGGAGGAAAGACCCATTGCCCCAGGGGAGCTGTGGCCCCTCAGCAGGCACATAAGACTGGGCATGGAGATGCTGACAGATGCCAGCCTATGGCTGCGAGGG